TTTACTCTTGCTTCTTCTTACATAAACTCCATATTCAGTTGTGCACTTCACAAATCCCTTCTCCCTTAGAAAACTATCTATCTTCTTATTCCAAGATCTTGAAGTTTGCTTAAGTCCATACAGAGCTTTATGCAACCTGTACACCTTTCTTTCTTTGCCTTTTTTCACAAACCCAACTGGTTGTGCAACATAAAATTCTTCATCTAATGGGCCATTTAGAAACTCACATTTCACTTCCATCTGAGACATGTACTAGTTGTTCATGTTTTCTAGACCAACAACCAACCTGATTGTTTTAATTTTAGCAACTGGTGCAAAGACTTCGTCGAAATCAATTCCTTATTTTTGAAGAAATCCTTTTGCTACAAGTCTTTCCTCGTGTCGAGTTACTTCTCCTCTGGGATTCAACTTCACCTTGTATACCCACTTCACATTGATTGCTTTCTTTCCTTGAGGCAATTCGACAACTGACCAAGTGTTGTTAACTCCGACGGACTCTAGTTCCTCATTCATTGCTTACACCCACTTCAAATCTTTCAATTCCTCAGTTGCATTGACTGGTTCAACATTTGCGTAGGAAGCATAACGTACCAGCTCACCTTCTTCATTGACCATATCATCTGATGTAATCACACAATCTTGCAACCTTGCAGGCATGTGTTTTATTTGTTGAGGTCTGCTTGGATCTGTTTCACCTCTGACTTCTTCTTGTCGAACTTCTCTTTCGACTTCACTAGATGGTTCTTCACATAATATTCTCACTGAAACCTTCTTAACATTCTCAGTCCAATCCCATTCCTTAAGCTCATCTATGATCACGTCCTTGTTGATCACAACTTGCTTGTTCACTGGGTCGAACAATTTGTATCCTCCAGTCGAATGATATCCTATCAGGATCATTTAACTCGGCTTGTCATCAAGATTTCTTCTCAATTGATCTGGCACATGTCTATGTGCTATAGATTCAAACACCCTTAGATGACTTAAATTATGCTTGACAGCAGACCAACATTCTTCTGGCGTGATTCCTTCTAGCTTCTTTATCAGACATCTATTCAAGATGTATGTTATAGTCGACATAATTTTTCCCCACAATTCGTTGGGTAGATGCTTTCCTCTCAACATCTCATCATATTCACAATGATTCTATTCTTCCATTCTTCAGTTTCATTTTGCTGTGGTGTGTAAGGTGGCACCACCTCATGTACAATCTCTTCTTTCTTATATAATGCATCAAAATATTTCAACACATACTCTCCACCACCATCAGTCCTCAAAATCTTGAGCTTTTTACCACTTTGTCTTTCAACCATTGATTTAAACTTGACAAATATCTCGATCACTTCACTTTTCTTCTTGATCAGGTAAGTCCACAGTTTTTAATTGAAATCATCTATGAATGTGACAAAGTATCTATTACATCCAATTGAATTCACCTGGATAGGTCTATACACATTAAAGTATATGACTTCAAGAAGTGCCTTTGACTTGCTTTTTGCATCCTTGTTGAAGTTGTTCTTGCGCTGTTTCGCCTGAATAAATTCTTCACACACTTCACTTGAAATGTCGATTTCGGGTAATTCTGAAATCTTTGAAATTGAGATGGCCAAGTCTTTAATGTCATATCAATTCATCTCTGTTGGCTGCCGTTGCAAGGAACTTATGCTCCATCACATTAAGTTCAATCTTGAAGGTTCTATTCTGAGACATTGGTGCCTTCAAGATTAACCTACCACCTATGTCGAGAACTCTCATCATCTTGTCTTCAATCTACACTTTGTAATTCTTTTAGACCAATTACCCTATACTGAGCAAATTGCTCTCCATGCTTGGTATGTATAATACATTGGAAATTACTAACCTTTTGCCATCTTTCCTCATAATCAGAACATCATCAATACCTTCAGCTGCTAGAGTATTATCATTTGCAAATTTTTCCATATTCTTCATTGAGGGCTTTATGTTGAAAAAACGATCTTTCATTCCAGACACGTGTGATAAACATCCTGAGTCCAAGTACCACTGGTCCTTGATTCTCTCTCCATCTCTCGTTGTAACCATCAGCATCATCTCTTCTTCTTCTTCTTCTTCTTCTTCTTCTTCTTCTTCTTCTTCTTCTTCTTCTTCTTCTTCTTCTTCTTCTTCTTCTTCAAGTTTCACTACTTTTACATCAGTTTCTTGATTCTTCTTCTTTTCAGTATAATCACTAGAATAATGACCATACTTCTGACAATTGTAACACTGAATGTGACTTTGGTCAGGTTTTCGACCACTACCTCTTCCTCTATATGCAATACCACCTTTTTGGTTGACTTGGTTCCAGGGTTTTCTCTGATTTGACCAGTTTCCTTCTAGTTGATTTCGACAAGTCGAATTGTTGTAGCCTCATTTGCCTTTATTGCCATTCCAACTTCCTTTGTCTTTCTTTTCTTTTGATGTTTGCACCTGCAAAGCCACATCACTCTTTGAATTTCCTACAGCTCTTTCAGCCATTCTTTGTTTATGAGATTAAAGCATTCCTTGAAGCTCTTCCTTTGCCAATGTTGACAAGTCTTTCGACTCACCTATGGCTACTACCATGTGATCGAACTTCGGAGCTAATGACCTCAAGATCTTTGCGACAACTGATCTTGATGTCAACACTTCTCCACATACCTTGATTTGATTCACCAGTTTCGTAACCCCAGTGAAGAAATCAATTATGCTTTCATTGTCCTCCATCTGAAGCAATTCATAGGTTCTTTTGTGAGTTTGTAACCTCACCTCTTTCACCTTTTTTGTGCCTCCAAATGATTTCTCTAGAATTTTCCATGCTTCTTTCGCCGATTCTACATCACTAACATTTTCAAAATCATCTGGATCAACGCATTGATGAATCATAAAGAGAGCTTTATAATATTTTTTCTTCAATTCTTTATGTGCAGCCTTTTCTCCATCTGTCGCGTTTTCTAAAAGCAGTCTTACCCCTTCCTTCATAAGATCCCAAAGTTTTTGATAACAGAAAACAATCTTCATCTGCTTGCACCAACTCTCAGAATTATTGTTCTTGTGAATCAAAAGACTCATCGGAAAAAGCCCGTTTGAATGATTCATCGCCATCGTGTTTTGCTTCCATGAATCACAACCAGAGCTATAGATACCAGATGTTGGAATTAACCCAATCTTGGAGAATTCCGAACCAATCTTGATGAATAAGATTCAATCAATCGATCAAATTCCTCTCTTGTTCTTCACTCTTCACTCGAGTGAATCAATTACACATTAATTGCAAGAATGATTATGCGCAACAATTGTTAATGGAAGAAGAAATAAAAATTGAATTGGGAAGAAAAAGGAATTAGGGTTTGAACCAAATATGGAAGAAGAGAATTTCTGCAGAGTTTCTCTCTGCTATTCAAAACTGAATATTATTCTTTGCAACTGAAAAAATTGTTATACAATAATAGGGGTTACTCTCTATTTATAAATTTTGGGTTTGTTTGCTCCTTAAACAAAACTCAAAATACCTAATTATGCTAACACTACAAAATTAGGCCTAAGTTGAAATCCATGTCGAGGCTAACTCTTTAAACACTTCGACAACTATACAACTCAGACATACTAGATTATTACGACACTACCTTATTTCTGTCGAGCAATCTGCTTCGACACAAGAAATTACATACTTAACACTTAGAGACAAAATGGTTAAGGAAGAATATAACAGGCACTCACTCAAGCGCTAGGTCTCTAGTGACGATGTGGATAAGGAAAAACATGACATAACTTCTTATAACTATTATTAGTTAGGATGATGATTGAGAGATATTTCACTACTTATGATGAGGTTAATATTTTAAACATGAATTCTGAATATTAATCCGATTTCAGAGATTTACTACGATGACCATATCTTATAATTTTTTTTATTGATGTTTTGGTGAGTACATCACAAATTCACCAACTCATTCAACCTATTTTAAAGGATATACCATATTTATTTGGTGAATGTATCTCAACTTAATGAGGTGATTTAGATGGTCTCATATATGATTTGAAATAGTCTACTATATTGTTATTCTTACAATTATGTTGTCATTGGTGAGATGAATACATGTAGAAGGATTAACTATAACTTATACCCCCTCTAGAATTAAAATTAAAAATAGTTAAAATTTCTTAGAATGAAATATAAGTGAATATCAACTTCTTTTTTTAGTTAATAAAAATATCTCTATAATTCACCTCATTTAATTTAATTTAATTTATTTTTAATGACTAAAATATTATTTGTTTTCGAGAATAACTTAGTAACAATATTTTCTCACAAGTTTAAAACATTTTTCATTGATTTATGGTATTTGTTTAGACGTTTCTTCAACTAGCATTTGAATTTATATTTTAGAAAATCATAATTTTCTCTCTCTCATTTTTTAACTCATTATCTCAAAAATATGAATGTAAAGTAATTTAAAAAGTATTTTATGAAATTTTTTATTCATTATCTCAATGAATTATATTTTTTATCAATCATCTTAATATAGTAAAATTAAAAGTACTAAATAATGATGTTTGAAATATATAAAATATTAAAATTAAATTGTATTAAACTCATAAGTGATGCTTTTGCATGTCATCTTATGATGTGCATTTTCTCTTAATTTATATATGAACTATTAATGTAACAATAATATAATAAAAATCTAGAATTCTATCTAAGTAATAAGATGTGATTGAATAGGTGTGTATGTTTTTTTTATTCCAACCATGTATATAAATTAAATATTACATATTCTTTAAAAAACAACCCTACTATTAATACATTATTCTTTAAAAAAACTACTATTATTGTATTAATTTTTTAGGTTGAAAACAGGACTAAAAAAAAAAAAACTAATCCGTAATTAATCGGAGAACACACAAACTCAATAAATCACTTTCAAACAAGTGATTTATAAATATTCTATTTTTTTTATATATTTATAAACATATTCTCATTTCTGATTAAAAAATGAAGCAATTTATGAGTAAAATTTATAGGTCTTGGCTTGAACTATGATTGTCCTCAATCCACCAATAGGTGATAAAATCATTAAACATAAACCAAGCACAATGCATATCTGCAAAAAATAAAACAAAATATAATAATTTTTTTAAAGTTAAAGTGATAAATTATAAATTGAAAAACTTGAAACAAAAGTCTAAACAAAATATATACCCAATTAGTCCACCATGACAAGCCAAATTTCCTTGGTTTGTAGATTTTGAGCCACATGATACAAGGAAGCTGAAAATACAATATAACATCAATATGTGACCAAAATTATAATATTTTCAAAAAATATATTAGATTAAGATTTTCAATTATTCATGGCTTACAAAATATGTTGTTGGCGCAAATGCAAATCCTCCGAAAAATCCTAGAAGGCCGTCGAAAAAAGGAAATGTAATTGCAATAAACATCGTGAGTGCTGAAAAAGAAAAAAAATCATTGTCATTGCATAAAATCGAAAGAAAAATATTTGAAAGAATCGACAATAATTTTTTTCTATGCATACTTACCAACATATATATTACGCACGATAAATCGAAGCGTTGTAGTTGGTTCGAATTTCATTTTCTTCACCAGTAAAGTTTCAATCATATCAAACACCGGCATAGCATAAATCTACAACATAAAAAAAAAAATTAAAATATTTATATTTGAATTATAAGTAACCTAAGTTTTTCATAAATTTAAATATCAAGAGAAAATGAATTTTACCTGATAGCTTCCAATCACATGAATAACAACAAACATATTAGCCATTGCAATAAGCCATGCCGGTTTCTCTAAAGAGATGAGAATGTCACCATCAACCTCATTTCCAAATATCCAGTAACCAATAAAAGCAACTGGAAAGTAACATAAAGCCACAACAATGTAGGCAACAACAACTCCTCTCCACATTGGAACCTTGGATGGTTTTTCAGGTGTGGATGGAATTGTTGCTTGGATTTCCAACACCACATTGTGTCCAGCATAAGCAAATGCAACAGATCCAAGAGCACTAAAGAAATCAAAGATTGTTCCTGCTGTACTATGTGACTTGTATCCATATTGTACATTTTTTTGAACTCCTTTATCTATACTTGCAGCCCAAGAAATTGTAGAGTAACTGTGGAAAAAACAAAACACCAAAGTTAGGGTTTTTATTAATAGTAAAATATTTTCAAGAATATAAAAAATTTAGAGTTTACGGTGATGCACCGACAGATGTTACACTGTCATCTGCAATGCATGGTCGTTATAGGTTGACAGTGTAAAAATTTATACCTGAAAGACATGACGGCGGCAGCCAATGATACACCAGAAATTGAGTTGAAATCAGGGAGATGAGAGAGCACAAAGTGAACAGAGGCAAATATCATAATGAAATAGGTCAATTTTATATTTTTGCAACTTGGACACACAGTATCATGGAATTTTTTCAAGGATGTTCCTCCAGTGACCATGTAAACAATGTTTACCGCAACTTCAACCACAAGTTGTTGAGGCACCACAATATAAAGACCTAGTTTTTTGCCAAAGGCATGTTGACCTAATTCATGGTATCTGTCAAAACGTTTTCCTGAAACCATTTCATGCATCTCAACCATCTGCCATAATGTGTATAATGTGATGATCCATGAGAGGACAAGTATGGTTACACCAGGACCCCTGTAAAATTTTGATTAATATACACAAGATGATACATTATAAATATTTACATAAAATAATATAGTTTTTTTTATGTTCAATAACAATTAAATTTGAATTGAAGTATACCATCCAAGTTGTGACATGGCATGAGGGAGACCAAGAACACCAGCTCCAACCATTGCAGTGACATTGTGGAAGGCTGAGTACCACCATTTGGCATTTCTTTTTGAAGTAATTGGAAGCCATTCTTCAATTCTTTTGTCCCTCTCTGATTTTTCTTCAATCTATTTTCTCATTAACAATGAATAAAATTTACCTTTAATTCAAAGTTATATATGTAATCAATCTATGATAATAAAAATGTTTCAAATTGTGTGATCGGATGTATTAACACGCATCTAACTGTTTGCTTAGTATTGGATAGTGAAATTAAAATATATTTTTTAAAATTTAATTGTTTAATCTTAATGAGATGATCAATGTGTGCGTTAGAAAGGATTTTATCCAAATTTTTATAAGAATTGTTAGAATTTTTTTTTTAAAAATTATAAGTCATTTTGCTAAAAAAAAATTATTCAAAAATTATTTTATAATTTCAATGCAACATTAATAATTTTTTTCTCAACATACATTCTATCACTTATTGTTATTTTTTCTTAAGATTCTTTAAATTTCTCTTTCATCTATAATAAATGAAGGGTAATAGTGTAAAATCATGCGCAACTTTTCTCTCATATAACAATAATTATGTTTTTTAATTTGCTTAAAAGATGTAAAATGTTTTATAATTTGAAACAGAGGGAGGATGAGCTAGTAAAAAGGATAAGACTATCAAAATATAAAAGAAAAAATAAATATATGAAAAGAAAATATAAAATTTTTGGAATCTTTTAAATTTTATGTTTTTTTTTACGAATAAGGATATTTTAAAGAGGATTTTATAAAACGTTGCACATATTTTTTGATGTTTTAAAAACTAGATCGAATTGGTCGGTCAATCGGTGAAATCAGTATTAGAAGTAATTCATATTTAGTTGTACTATTACTTAGCCCCTAAGTTTGTTATAGGATATTTTAGTATTTTATCTTATTCTAGTAACCCTAGTTTTTAACTTATAAATAGGGTTGCAATCATTGTAATGTTAAGTGAGTTGTGTAGTTGTCATTCTCTTTAATAGAATATTTCATCTGTTCATCATTTATTCACCTTTGCACCAATAATTGGTATCAGCGCTCCGATTCGAATTCATTGGGAAACACGAGACGTGAGGCCTTGTGTGTTTGATTTTGTTTCTTAGATTCGTGTTGAATCTTGAACAAAATCTGATCAGAATTTTCGTGTTGAATCTTGAACAAAATCTGATCAGAATTTTAATTTTGTGGGTTGGGAAACACTGTGTGAGAAATCTGAGTGTACTGTGCAAGGTAGAAGATGAATGGAAACGGAAACATGAACACCAAACTTCCAGTATTTGACGGTAAAAACTGGAATCGTTGGATGATCCAAATGCGTGTACTGTTCGGTGCTTAAGATGTTATAGATCTTGTCACTGATGGTTATGTTCCGGTAGCAGCAGATGCGACAAACGAACAAAAAAAAACGCGCAGAAGGAAGTAAGGAAGAAGGATCAGAAAGCATTGTTCTTCATTCATCAATGTGTGGATGTAAATGTGTTTGAGAAGATTGCAGATTCAACGACAACAAAGGCTGCGTGGGACACACTGGTGAGATGTTATGGTGGTGACGCATCAGTGAAGAAGGTGAAGCTTCAGTCCTTGAGAAAGTAATATGAGAATCTCAACATGAAGAATAATGAGAAAGTCTCTGAATACATCTCCAGAATGATTCTGATCACTAATGAGATGAAGGCGTGTGGAGAAACTCTTTCTGAAGAAGCAATCATGGAGAAAGTATTGAGATCCCTTACCTCTCAATTTGATTACATTGTGGTAGTAATAGAACATTCCAAAGATCTGAGCACCATGAGATTTGAAGAGCTGCAGAGCAGTCTAGAAGCGCAAGAGTTGCGTTTGAATGAGAGAACTTCTGAAAAGGAAGTAGAGCAGCAGGCTCTGAAAGTAACTTCTGATAGGAGGTATCAGAAGCAGTTAGAAGCCAGGAGAAGATCTGATGGTGGTCAGAAGTCAGAAAGCTCAACCTCTGATAGACAAAAGAATGCTCATAAGGGAAAAGAGAAGTATGACAAGAATAAAATCCAATGTTACTGTTGTAAGAAGTTTGGTCACTTTGCTAGAGATTGTTGGTCAAACAAGGAGAAAAAATCAGAAGAAGCAAATATAGCCAGAAGTTCTAATGACGAATCTGTGCTATTGATAGCCTCTGAATCTGATGATATGGATCTGATAGACTGGTGGTATATGGACACTGGCTGTTGAAATCATCTTACTGCAAACAAGAAATGGCTGGTTGACTTTGACTCTGAAAAGAGAACAAAGATCAGATGTGCTGATGACAAATATCTTAACGCAGAAGGTATGGGAAATGTCAGAGTGATTCTGAAAAATGGGAAAACAACATTGATTCAGAACGTGTGGTATGTACCTGGCATCAGAAGCAATCTGATGAGTGTGGGACAATTAATTGAGAAAGATTTTTTAGTTACCATGAAGGACAATCTTCTGAAGCTGTATGACTGCAATCAGAAGTTGATTATGGAGTCAGAACAGGGAAGGAATAGGACATTCGAGGTGAATGTCAGAACTGCAGACTCAGAATGTCTTAGTGCAACAAGTGCTGAGAAGGAGAGTGAGCTGTGGCACAGAAGATTCGGTCATTTAAATTTCAGAAGCTTAAAACATCTGAATTCAAAGAAGTTGGTACATGGAATTTCTGCAATTAAGAAGCCTGAAAAGTCATGCAAAGTTTGCATGGAAGGAAAACAACCACGATTGCCATTTGCGTCAGAAGCTGCTCCAAGAGCAAAACATGCCTTGGGAGTTGTACATTCTGATGTGTGTGGTCCATTTCCAGTAGCATCGATTGGAGGGAATAAATACTTTGTGTTGTTTGTTAATGAATTCACAAGAATGACATGGGTATCCCTTATTAAGTTTAAACACGAGGTGTTTGATGAATTCAAAAAGTTCAGAATGAAGGCTGAGAATCAGAGTGGTCAGAAGTTGAAGATTCTTAGAACTGATCGTGGAGGTGAGTATAACTTCAAAGAGTTCCAGAATTTCTATGAGGAGAATGGAATTGAGCATGAGGTTACTGCTCCTTATAACCCTCAACACAATGGTCTTGCTGAAAGAAGAAACCGCACTTTGCTTGATATGGTGAGAAACATGCTAAAGGAGAAGAAGCTTCCTCAGAAGCTCTGGGAGAAGCTGTTGCCACTGCAACGTATGTACTCAACCGATGTCCTAAGAAGAAGTTGAAGGAAATAGTTCCAATACAGAAGTAGACTGGAGATAAGTAAAGTGTTAGTCATCTGAAGGTGTTTGGTTCTGTTTGCTATAAACATGTTCCAGAAGCTAGAAGACAGAAGCTGGATGGTAGAAGCAAAGTGATGATTCAGATAAGGTACCACAGTACATGTGCATACAAGCTCTATTGTCCAGAAACCAATAAAATTGAATTCAGCAGAGATGTGATTATGAAGGAATCAGAAGTTTGGAATTGGGATAAGTCTCAATCTGATTCTGATGTTAGAACTTCTGAAGAAAGGTCAGAGTTAAGAATTTATGAAGTTGGAGTAAACGCTGACGTTGACTTTGACTCTGATAGTGATTCAGACTCCGGAGAAGACTCAGAAGATAAAGGTGACTCTGATGATCCAGACTCTGATGGCAATCCAGATTCTGGTGGCAATTCAGACTCTGGAAATATGCCAGACTCTGAAGATGGTCAAAGCTCTGGAGGAAATCAATCATCTGAAGCTAGAAACTCTGAAACTCAAGACTCTGAACAAGTTCAGAGACCACAAAGAATAAGAAACGTCCCCAGAAGATATGCAGAATTTGACATGCTGCAAGACACTGAAGTAGACTCTGAAGGAGAAGTTATTCAGTGTGCCATGATAGTAGACTCTGAACCCATAAGTACATAAGAGGCTTTTAAGCAGAAGCTCTGGCTGAAGGCCATGAAAGAAGAACTTGATGCTATAGAGAGAAACAAGACTTGGAAGCTGACAAAACTTCCAAAAGACAAGAAAGCCATCAGCGTCAAATGGGTTTTCAAGCAGAAGTTAAAGCCAGATGGTTCAATTGGCAAACATAAAGCAAGGTTGGTAGCCAGAAGATTTCTACAGAAACCTGGGCTGGATTATTCTGAAGTGTTTGCACCTGTAGCAAGACATGAAACAATCAGAATGGTGATTGCAATAGCTGCTAACAGGAATTGGCCTCTGATGCATTTAGATGTAAAATCTGCATTTCTGAATGTTCCATTAGAAGAAGAAGTTTACGTGTCACAACCTCCCGGATTTATGAAAAAGAATCAGGAAGGAATGGTGTACAGATTATACAAAGCTCTATATGGACTGAAACAAGCGCCCAGAGCTTAGAATCAGAAGATTGATTCATTTTTCAAGAAGCAAGGCTTTCAGAAATGTGAGATGGAGTGCAGTGTTTATGTTCAACATACTTATGAAGGCAATATGACTCTGGTGTGTTTATATGTTGATGAGACTGGAAGTTCTGAACAGGAGATAGCCAAGTTCAAGAAAGTTCTAATGAATGAATTCGAAATGACTGATCTAGGCAAAATGACATACTTTCTAGGGATGGAGTTCAGATATTATGAGAAAGGTATCATTTTGCATCAGCTCAAGTATGAATTAGAACTTCTGAAGAGATTTGAATTGAAGAATTGTAAGGTTGCTGTCACACCTTCTGATACAAATCAGAAACTGGATTCTGACTCTAATGGAAAGGATGTGGACGCTACAACCTTCAAACAATTGGTTGGTTCTCTGAGGTATCTGTGCAATACCAGACCTGATATTTTCTATTCTGTTGGGATGGTTAGTAGGTTTATGAGTAAACCTAAGTGGTCCCATTACCAAGCTGCTGTCAGGATTCTGAGGTATATCAAGGGAACTCTGAAGTATAGAGTGTTATTTCCTTCTGGAAGAAAGAATGAGTCAGAACTTCTGAGTTATTCAGATTCTGATTGGTGTGGAGACATAGTTGATAGAAGAAGTACCTCTGGGTACTTGTTCAAATTTCTGGGAGGTCCCATTTCTTGGTGTTCCAAGAAGCAACCTGTTGTGGCGTTATCAACCTGTAAAGCTGAATACATTGCAAGTGCTGTTACTGCATGCTAAGCTGTGTGGATTCTGAATCTGTTGCAGGATCTGAAGATTAAAATAAACAAACCTCTGAAGCTGATGATTGACAACAAGTATGCAATAAATCTTGCCAGAAACCCAGTGTTGCATGGGAGAAGCAAGCATATTGATACCAAATATCATTTTCTGAGACATCAAGTTCAGAGTGGAGTGTTAGAAGTTGTACACTGCAGCACTCAGAAACAGTTGGCAGATGCTCTGACGAAAGCTATCAAGACTGATCAATTTCTCAGACTAAGGGATGAAATTGGTGTTACAAGTTTTGATGAAATATGAATTAAGGGATGGTATTAGAAGTAATTCATATTTAGTTGTACTATTACTTAGCCCCTAAGTTTGTTAGAGGGTATTTTAGTATTTTTATCTTATTCTAGTAACCTTAGTTTTTAGCTTATAAATAGGGTTGCAATCATTGTAATGTTAAGTGAGTTGTGTAGCCGTCATTCTCTTTAATAGAATATTTCCTCTGTTAATCATTTATTCACCTTTGCACCAACAATCAGAAATCAGAGTTGAATCGTGTTTGTCAATCTTTCAAAATTGCTAGTGGATTAAAATCATAGTAAAATTGAAGAAATTAAATTGAACCGTTTAAAATTTTTCGAACCAAAAAAATCGTAGTCGATTTTGCAAAATACTCTGTTAAAAAAATGCATCAAATTATTTTTATTTTTATTTTTAAAGTTTAATATGTTATCAAAACTTAAAACATTCTATATTCACAAAAAATAATTCTTTGTTTTTTCTACAATTATACAAACTTATAAGTTTTATTACTCTATTATAATTTTTCTTTCAACCATGCTTCATCAATTATACAAACTTCTAAATTTTATCAATCTATTATAATTTATCTTTCAACCATGCTTCATCATTATCACGCCGTCTTTTTGTCGTCGTTCATAATTGTATTGTTTATTTTTTATAATTCTTTCTTATTAAATTTAGGTATTAAGTGGTTTCAATTTCCTCTCGATCGCAGTTGCGGGGATCAAACCGTGATTCTTTCTATCAAGTTCAACGCCAATCACCACTGAACTAAGATTGATAATTTAATAATAGCCACTCAACTAACTAAAGATTGATAATTTAATGTTATTATTAATGAATACAGTACAATCTTTTTTAGTTGATTGTTAATGATTATGTGATCACATAAATTTGAGTTTGTTTTTAATAGAATTTTATTTTGTTCTAAACAAATAGGTCAATTTTAGAAATATTTTATATATTATTTTTGGTTTAAAATTTTAATTATATTAATTCATCAATAGTTTTCTATTGGTGAAAATGATTTTATATAAAATAATATCTTGACATTTAAGTTGTATTTTTTTATATTTTTTATATTTAGTCTTAATTTATAATCTTTTTATTTATTTATTTATTTATTTATTTTTATACTTGGTCTATTGTAGAATATTCTTTTATTTTAATTTAAAGTAATATCAACTAGAATATTTAAACAAATTAATATAAAACTTTAAAACCTGTTTAAAAGTTAAAATTTATAATATCTCAAAAATATAAATAAATTTATTTTATATTAAATTAATAAATAGTTTTTATAACAAAAAAATAATTTAAATAAAATAATAATAATTTAAATTTTTTATTTTTTGAGTGGATATGGATTGAGACAGCTGTGTATAAATAATTATGTAATTTTATATACCCTTAAAGTATATTCAAGAAAGTTGCTTTTTAATTACTTTAATGGTATTTTATTTTCTAAAACTTTGAAATAGTACAATACTTGATAGATGTAATTGTAAAAGTGCATATGTCTAATTTAAATTTGAAATTTTGACTTTAAATAAATTTATAGTCTTTCATGAAAAATATAACTTTGACTAATCATGAAACCGGTGTGGTTTACACAAGATATTGATAGGTTGAATCTTCTCTTTTGAGGAAATGTAAAATGTATGACGTGACTTATATGATGGAGTATCTAATTTTGTTTGTATTTATACTTTAATTGGTTATTTATTTGAAAAAATAAAAAGAAAAGTATTATTCATAACTGATAAACAACAATTATTCATATGCATAACTTTAAAAGTTTCTATGATTAAACTCACACCTTTTTTTATAGTCTTACACTAATATAATTGTTGATGGTATACAAAACTTTTATACTGATCTTATATATGAATTAAATTCTACTCTTTTAATAAAACATTATAAATATCTATAAAAAAAAATTTAAGAGTAAAAAGAAAAGATGCTTTTAGAGAAACTTACAGTTTTGTGACGATCAGGACTAGAATTATGATGATGATTTAATGCTTCAGTTTCCAAAGTTGCCATAATTCTTAAACTTCAAAGAGAACAAACAACGTTTTGGTTTTGTTGGAAAATAGAAACCACTTGAACTTGAGTTAATGTTATGGTGAGTCTCTCATCTATATAGGTAAGATTTCTTGCCCCGTTGAATTTTCAAATGATAGGTATTTATTTAGATTAATTATAGGGAAATTATCTATTACGTTTCATTAATTAAAAAGAGTAATAATTAAATAAATAAATAATGTTAGGAAGATAATTTGTTGCGACGCGTGGTGAATAAAAGTCAAAGAAAAAGAAAGTTATTAGACGTGACGTAGATGAAGTTTGTATAAATGAATTGAAAATTATATGGAAAAATGGTTGACTTTCAAATTTAGTTGAGTACTATGTTTTTGAGATCCTATTTTCTTGGTCGTGGCCGAAATTTCAGAGAAATGGTTTAGAAATTTGTATCCTATGGTGTCATTTGAATAGTTTTATATATTTGAGAATATTTGAGTCAAACAAAAACATGTGATATGGATTGGAGTTGAAAAGGGAAAAGACAAAGAAGAATCCTAAGAAAATATCATATGTTCGTTTGTTTTAAAACAATTAATGTTATTGGTTATGTAATTCAGTTAGTTAGTTGATTATATATATATATATATATATATATATATATATATATATATATATATATATATATATATATATATATATATATATATATATATATATATATATATATATATATATATATATATATATATATATATATATTGTACTATGCAGTTAGTTTAGCTGCTGCACATTGTAAATCAAACTATAGAATACACTTTCTATTCATCATCTTGTTTTAACATCTTGTTTCATCAAAGCTTTTCATAATTCATCTTCTCCAATTGGTTGTAGTACTGTGTATGCTAGGTTCTATCAAATTGGTATTGCAGAGCCCGATTCGATTGCTGCAGTCAGAAGATTCTTGAAGAATGAGAAATCACAGCAATAATATCTTTACACAACTGCCAATTTTTGAAGGCAAGAACTTTGATCAATGGATCGTGAAGATGAAGGTGATCTTTAGATTTCAAGAAGTTCTTGAAGTAGTGAATGAAGGCATAACAGTCTTGACAGCCAATGCAACTGAAGAACAACAAACTATTCACAAAGAACTGAAGAAGAAGGATGGGAAGCCATATTCTTGATACATCAAAGTGTGAGCAATGAGATCTTTGAGAAGATCATGCACTATGAAAGTGCAAAAGAAACATGGGATGCAATGGAGAAGTTGTATGCTGGTGATGGGAGGTTGAAGAAGGTAAGATTGCAAGCACTAAGAAGGCGGTATGAAGTGCTGGCAATGGAAGAAGAGGAAACCATCAGCCAGTACCTTGACAAAGTGATCACTCTCACAAACCAAATGACAAGGAATGGTGAAGTGTTTACTGATGTAATGAAGGTTGAAAAGGTCCTCAGAACTCTGACACCAAGGTTTGATCACATTGTGGTTGCATTGGAGGAATCTAAGGATCTAGACTCCATGAAGATAGAAGAACTGCAGGCAAGCCTAGAGGCACATGAACTGAGATTGACTGATATGACCAAAGAAAGAGGAAAGGGTGCATCTTTGGATCAAGCATTGCAAGCTCAATATGTGAAGAAAGGAAAGTCTAAGAAGGAGATTAAGTGCTATAATTTCCAGAAGTGGGGGCATTATGCATCAAAATGCAGATCAAAGAGAGTACCAAGGTGCAAGGATGAGGCTCAGTTTGCTCAAAATGAAGGCTCAGATTCAGATGAAGTGTTACTGATGGTAACAGTCAAGGATGAAGAAGAAAGAAGTGATGAATGGTACCTAGATACTGGGTGTTCAAATCACATGACAGGCAAGAAATCTTGGTTTTCTGAACTAGATGAATCTGTGAACAAAAATATTAGATTTGCAGACAATAGCATAATATGTGCAGCTGGAATTGGAAAAATTCTGATCAATAGGAAGGATGGAAAGAAAGCCTATATTACTGATGTACTATATGTGCCAAACATGAAGAGTAATCTGATCAGCATTGGCCAACTATTACTAAAAGGATACACCATGAAGATGGAAGCACAAGCCATGAAGGTTTTTGATCACACAAGTAAACTGATTATTAAAGCTCCACTGTCAAAACAAAGAACATTCAGGATTAACATGAATGTGATTGAAGATCAGTGTTTGATGTCTGAAACTAAGCATGAGGACTGGTTGTGGCATCAAAGATACGAGCACATCAACTTTAGAAATTTGGATGTGCTGCATGAAAGAAAGATGGTGCAAGGCCTGCCAAAATTAAAGGTGTCAGAAGAAGTATGAGAAATATGTTGCACTGGAAAGCAGGTCAGAAACTCATACAAAGCAGAGGCACCATTCAAGGCAACAAGGAAACTTGAGGTAATTCACTCAGATGTTTGTGGACCTTTTGAAGTAAGGTCAGTATGGGGAAACAACTACTTTGTAACATTCATAGATGAATTCACTAGGAAATTATGGATTTACTTGTTAGCTAAGAAAAGTGAAGTGTTGAGTGTGTTTAAGAAGTTTAGACTGCTAGTTCAAAATGAAAGTGGTGAAGGAATTAGTAGGTTAAGAACTAATGGAGGAGGTGAATACAATTCCACTTAGTTTCATGAGTTTTGCTCATCAAATGGCATAAGTCATGAAGTCACTGCACCATATAAGCCTCAACACAATGGAATTTCAGAAAGAAAAAACAGAACTCTGGTAAATATGATGAGAAGTATGTTGAAGCAGAAGAAAATGCCTCACTATATGTGGGGTAAACCAGCTGCTACGACAACATATCTCATAAATAGAAGTCCTACAAAGAAGCTGTAGGATAAGACACCAGAGGAATCATGGAGTGGAGCCAAACCAAGTGTTCAACACTTAAGGATCTTTGGTTCATTATGTTTCAGACACATACCTGACCAACTAAGGAAGAAGTTAGATGATAAATCCCAAGCAGTGATTATGGTTGGCTATCATCAAACTGGTGCATACAAACTGTATAATCCAAGTAATAAGAAAATAGTATTCAACAAGGATGTGAAGTTTAATGAATCAAAGGAATGGAACTAGAAAGAAAAGGTATCATACATATGTGACAACAAGTTACATCTATCTGACTCAGAAGCAGAAGGTGAGATTGAGGAACAAAAAGAGATTGGTGAAACTACAAATGAAGGAGATGCAGAAGCAACCACTAGACCAACAAGGAATACTCAACCACCAGCCAGGTTGAGGGATTATGAGAGATCTCTGATCAAGCAGTTACAGATGAAGGTGACATAGTGCAATTAGCTATGCTGGCTGAAACTGAACTAGTGTCCTTTGAAGAAGCTCTAAAACATAAGCACTGGGAGATGGCAATGATTGAAGAACTAAACTCCATAGAGAAGAATGAAACATGGAAATTAGTTCAACTGCCTGCTAACAAGAAGTGTATTGATGTTAGGTGGGTTTTTAAGACAAAACTAAGGCCAGATGGGCAGGTGGCAAAATACAAGACTAAACTAGTAGCAAGAGGATTCCTGCAGAGGTATGGACAGGATTACTATGAAGTCTATGCTCCAGTAGCAAGAACGGAAACAATTAGACTGATTATGGCAATAGCAGTCAAGAATAAATGGTCTATGTACCAATTAGATGTGAAATCAGCTTTCCTCAATGGTGAGCTAGAAGAAGAAGTATATGTGAACCAGCCACTAAGATTTGAGATAGAAGGAAAGGAAGAACATGTCTATAAACTAAACAAAGCCTTATATGGGCTAAAGCAAGCTCCAAGGGCTTGTAACAAAAGAATAGACATCTTTCTTGTTCAGTAAGGGTTCATGAAATGTGTAAATGAACATGGAATTTACAGCAGAAATACCACATGTAAGCTCGTTGTGTGTCTATATGTAGATGACATGATAGTCACTGGAAACAATGAAGCTGATATGAAGGAGTTTAAGGAAAACATGATGAAAGTATTTGAAATGTCTGATCTAGGCATACTCACATATTTCCTTGGAATTGAGTTTGAAAGGAATGAACAAGGAATGGTCGTGCATCAAAGAAAATATGCCCAAGATGTGTTGAAGAGGTTTCACATGATGAACTGCAAGCCAGCCTCAACACCTGTTGATACAGGAGCAAAATTATCCTTAGCAAATGATGAAGAGGAAGTGAATCCTACTCTATTCAAGCAGCTTGTTGGCTCCTTGAGATACTTATGTGTTGCACCCCAAAATTTGCTCAACCTTTTCTTAACTTGGTTTATGTTTCATTTCATTTCTTTCTAGCATTTGCATTGCATAACATTTTTCATTGAACAGGGGATCAAGAGGTTGTGCATAGAAAGAGGAGTCTACTCAGAGTGTTGAGCCTAAGCAAGGGGTGTTACTCAAGTTTGAATGGTCATCAGGTCATCTAGAATTGGGCAATAGTCTTGTGAAAGGATTGATGGATGTATGTGGGTCAACTCCTAACTTAGAGGCCAGTTCAAGATCATCAGAGGATTGTGAATTCATGATTATGGATATAAGATGTTGAGAGAGCTCATTGAGTTCTTTGAGATCCATGTTGGAGCTTATTCAAGTTGTTGTGGGATGTGAAAGAAGCCACAGTCAAGAATGTTGCATCTAGGGTTTTCATTTGGATAATCCTCAGTCAACTGTGAAATTGAAGGAGATTAAAACTCAATTCCAAGTCTCTATGGTCATGGGATGTTGTTTTAAGATACATGAGATATCATTTCAAGTTCAATTCATCAAGGATCAAGTGTGTGAGAAGTTACTAAATTAGGGTTCTCAGTGTAAAATCCCCTATTTAGTCCCCAACTTCAAGACCACCTACCTCAAGATACAAGCTTCATCTCAACTTTTGACCAACATGAAACTTGTAGAGCATGCTCTTAGATTTATTTTCAGTATTAGAAGTCATTGATTGGATTTATATAACTCAAGTTATGATGTAGACAAGTTACAGGTCCTCAGATGAATGTGATTTTGGTCAACAA